AACTTATTAAATACCTTGAAAAGTATCGAGAAATGGTTTCAAAGTTTTTAAATTGCTCGATTCTCGCATGTTGCGAGTAAATAAAGTTAAATCAGAAGAACTGTAAACGATCTGACGGCAGAAATCTTGTACTCCTCGATGAGTTTTCATTAGTTACAAAGAGTTCAACATTTTATTTAAATAGTATTCAAAATAAAAGTTAAACTGTACGAGTGGGTTGTTGCCTGAAGAGTTCTTGTACTAATGCTGAACTGTCATCGAGGATTTCTAAGCGACTGTCAGTTATTTTCTAAAGATATAAAACTAGTATTACTGACTCTAAAATTGAAGGTCAGAGTTAGCTATAAAACATACATTATTTATAGCAAAAACCTTATTAGATAATACATAAACAAATGTGAACAAGTACATAGGACCTATTCTAATATATTATTATGGTTTAACAAGAAAATGTAGAAGAAGAAAATTGGTCTTCGTGTCAGACTTATATTTTTTGAATGAAGTTATGGAGAGCAGAGCAATATGTTTTCAGTCTTTGGTCTGTCAGTATGACGTAGATATATAAGCGATAGCCTAACTTGTTTTAAACGTTCTCAAGAATCACGTTCTTGTCATTGAATGTTTGCAGATTTCATTATGTTATATTAAGTTGAAATTTTAACAGATTTTTTAAATATTTGGACATTGCAATTTTTGCATTATGTTCACATGTATATAGTACAGAATATTAATTTCATATATACCGAAGTTTACGATGAATTTAATACACGCCATTCTTATTTAAAGCTATTGATTTGTAATTGTAAGATAAAAGATAAGTATTTTTTCTCATTTGCATAGCTAATGGGACACGTTAAGACATTGACCTTGTTACTAAAATATGTTAGTTTTAAGAACATCTTTCTATGGACGAATGTCCAATTACGTGTGTTCTTCGATACAGGTCAAATGCAAGTTGTCTTTAACGTGTCTTACATAAGAAGTGAACGGATGATCGACGAGATTTTAAAACAAGGTTCAGATATAGGAGCATTTTGTGACACTATAAAGTGCCTGTCTTGTCATGTTTAGAGATGTGAAAAACTCGCGCTAGATTCCTTATAATCTTGAACCATCAATGGAAGGAATAATTTAATATTTTGTTTAATACAAATGCAGACATACAAATCAACAGAAATATATAAATTTATGTTGACAATTATATTAGACAAGGTTTCTACATGGTTGTACTACATTAAATAATAATTAATAATTAATGCCTTTACCAATTGTATTATATCTTAAACATATATTACTGACAAAAGAAATCTTAGATATACCTTTAAGTTTAAGAAACACCATTTTTCGGACATATTATTTTTAGTCTTTTCGTTACACATGCACGCACACACACACACGCGCGCGCGCGATTTTGTCGTAAATTACTGCTAAAGAACGCCATGTAAAAGTGTACTAGTATTGAAGGAATTAACGATATATTACATATGAAAGAAAAAAGAAAAAGCATACGTTTCTTTTGGTAATAAACAATTGTATATGTAATAATATATTCATTACT